ATAATATATATACAATGTTATTTCTTAAAAGAATGGATTTTAAGGGTAAAGTATTGGTCGAAGTATAACTAGATAAGAAATTGATTAAAAGAAAGAATTTGTAAATAGTTGTAATCAAATGATCAAATTGAATAAAATACAAAGTTAATGGATTAAATTAAAAAAATATGATTTTTTTATTAAAAAAATGAATTGAAGCTATATAGGTATTATAAAGTGGTAGATGAGCATTTGGTTTTAATTTGGTCAAAATGGACGCAAAACAAAAGAGGAATTGAAGAAACGAGAAAAGTACGCCAAGTCGATGGACTAAATTGAAAAAAAGAAAAAGAAGAGGAAATTGTTGTAAAAAAAAAGAGTAATTGAAGCCACATAAGTATTTTGTAGTGGTCAAAGAAAATGTAGTTCAAATTTGGTCAAAATAGACTTAAAACTAATGAAAAAATTGAAGAAACAAAGGAATCAATGACCAAATCATAAAATAATCAAATTATTTAGCTAAAGACAAAAAAAGTGTCGCTTTAATTTTCCAATTTTTGTTAATTCAAACTATACCAATTCAAATTTGACTCAAACTCAAAATTCAAATAAAAAATTTAAGTTGACTCGATTGATTAAATTCAAATAACTAAAAATTTAAAAGAAAAAAAATCAAGTTGAATCTAATTGTACTCGCCCTTAATTGCAGAGCTCCTTGTATAACAGGCAGTTTGTAACATATTGCTGTTCACCATGAAATTTAATTTTTTTTCGATTAGTTATATATTTTATTGATTGTATTTACTTTAACATTTTATTTGTGTTCACTTCGTATATAAAAAATTTATATTATTAATATATGTGTTCATCCTAAAAAAATATTTCTAGATTCTTCATTAAATACATAACTCACAAAATTTTTGTCATAACATAAAATAGTCCCATAAATTAGCAAATTTTGTCAAATAATTCCTAAATTTTATCAAATTAGTTCCTAGACTTGTAAGTTATGTTAAGTTGACTTGAACTTTTAAGGTTAAATTGGATCCTGAACTTGGATAAGTTACTATAAAAAAATTTAGAAGTAAATTTAATCAATTTATCAAATTTATATATCAATTTGATCAAATCTGTCAAATTCAGATATCATTTTAGCTCAAAATAAGGACCCCAAATGATTAAATAACCAGGTTTTTTTAATATTCTAATAGGATCTCATATTAATATTTCTTTTAAAATTTTAATATAGTCTCATATTAATTTTAACAAACATGTATACAAACTCATCAAGTAGTTTTAGTGATGAAAATGAATGTTGTTTATTTTAGAAGTCATGGGTTCGAGTAATTACATCTTCATATTATATGTGCATTGTCAATTAATTAATAAAATTATAAACAAATATTACCTTAGGCTCTTTATTATTGAAACCACTATTTAAGTTCCATAAACACCTTAGACTCTTCTTTTTTTCCCTTCCAGATTCTTGAACTTTATCTTAATTAATCTGAATTAATCCGTATCACATACCTAATTTTAATTGGTGAGTCTCCCAATATGAATTTTCTATATACACAAATACTCAAAATTACTTATTTAAGAGATATCAAATTACTTATCAATTAATAACATCTTTGACTCATTTTAATTCGTAATATGAAAGATCATGCATGTAATCTTCATCTCTCTCTCAAGGATGAGAGTCACCGTCGTACTTTATTGGGGGGGGGGGGGCCTTATTATACCTTTCGCAATATGCATTGTTCCCATTAGTGAAAGTGCGTGGTGGGGACCACCAATCTCTATGTCTCACGCCCACTATATAGTTTCATGGTCATAACAAGAAAATCAAGGATACAAATCTCGTCACCAAGCCATCATCATCCCCATAATCATACAACATTACAGCGAAGATGGAATGAGCGGGGCGCGTTGGTGGATAGGGCCGTTGTCATCTTTAAAAATTTTAAAATAATATATATTTTAGATATTTTTTATATTTTTAATTAATAATTTATTTTCGTCTCCTTATAATTATATAAGTTATTTCACTCTTAAAATTTTAGAAGTTTATTTTTTAATATAAAATCATATATTCATCTCTGATTACAGAAAAATATACAAATTATTTTTTTCAATTTTATTTTATTTATTTTCGATGTTTATAACTATTATTCTAATAATATCATCCTTGAAACTTACTACTAAACCCTATTGTTAATTAGTTGAAGTTGCCCTTTTACCAACAAGCCAAAGATGGAATGGAGAGAAGAATATTGTGCTTTTTATACGTGTAAATTATAAGGGCGGACGTAAAATTTTATGTTAGGAAAGAACTTTTAAAATTTTAAGAATGGACAAACTTATAAAATTCTAAGGGGTGAATACATATTTTAATAAAAATATATAAAAAATATAAAATATATGATAATTTTAAATTTTCAATGAATGATTATCTCCACCTTCCATCCATCCCTGATTATCAGTGTTTTGGCCTATTCGTTTAACGAATTAATTAAACGATAATTTGATATATTAGAATTGATATAAACAGATAAAAAGAGATTACCTTAATCAAGTACCATATGAATACTTTTCGATGCTTTTCGATTAAGTCATCCTCAATTTGGCTTGAAGCTTGAAGTTAACGTTGGCTTAACTTGAATTAAATTAAGTCACATTCATATTCGTGATTAAAGGAGATGTTATTGTCTTTTGAGGTACGGGGTATAAGAAGCTATGTTTGCAGAGTATGTGTGCGTTGTCAATAATTAAAAATATTATGAATATATATTACCTTATAATCGCCCGAAATATTAAAATGAATGAAATACGATTTTCCGGTGGATTGTTCGACCCTTTGTAGGATATATAGGGTAAAGTAGTTCATAGTGGAAACTTAACTTATAAAATTAGCAAAGAGAATCCAAGGCAGAAGCAAATGTATTAAATAGAAGGAAGAAGAAGAGAAATTAGAAATTGTTCACTGTCGTATATTTATATGGCCACTTCATTACGCACCTCCCCGACTAAATAAGTTATTCTTGGCAACACTTCTCAATCGGTTAAGTTTCACTTGGATTTGACGCTTAATGTCTATAGCATATAGAAACATGAACCCATATTCTCAAATAACATGAGCCCATCCAAGGTCAAGTTTGGGTTTATTGAATTCATAGATGAATCGGCCCTTGGGATTATTTATTAAGACAAAATGAACCTTATTTTATTTAGGTTTAAGTTTTAATTTTTTAATAGTTTAAGTGTTTACAAAATATTATATATGTAATTATTTGAATTCACGTTTTTTTAATGAAAATAACATTTATTTTTATCACTAAGGTCAGTTAAAATATTTAAATTTCATTAATTTTTTAAATAATTTGAAACAATTACAAAATAATATATATTCATAATTTTTTTAACTATTAATAATACATATACATTCCATAAACACAGCTACTCAAACACTACTACGTCTTCGTATATTTGTTTGTATTAATGCACTCTACAGTCTGCGCCCTTTTACAGGCTTTCTAGCCCTTCCTCTCCGCTGAGATTCCCTTCCTTCCAAAAAGTAACAAAACAAAAGGTTTCTTTGCTAATTGCTAGGCAATAGCCAATGTGCTTAAAGCATCTCTTTCCCTCTCTCTTGTATAAGAATCTTTAGGAAGGACGACCTCCTTTGAAATTTCATCTTACCGACACTTCACTTAGTAATTTAAATGAAATGAGACCAATCGCAAAATATTATAAATTAATTTAGTTAAAGTTCAGTCAACTCTTAAATTGAAAAAAATCAAATTGAGCTTAAATTCGGCTTGAATTTTTCACGAGTCAAAACAAACTATTTGATATATGACTCAAAAAACTCGCGTGCAATTAGAAAGAAAAATATATTAATTTTTAGATTTTTAAAATTAAATTATTAATAATATTAGCATTTATATGTTGTTCTTTAAAAAAACAATTTAAGACTTTCATGTGTTAAGGTTCATGTTCGAGTTCGAGCATGAGCTTCAATTGAGCTAAGTCTTAGAATATTAGAGTTCAAGTTTTTAGAGCTCAAGTCAAGCTTCAATTTATTTTTTCAAATCAAGTTTGAAATTTTTATGCTCACAAGCTTTCGAGTCGAGTCGAACTTAACAATTTAAGCTCGTGAAATACCGCCAACTTCACCTTTTCTTTTTTTTATTCTTTCACTCGCTCATTTGATTTTTTTTATAATTATTAGGTTTCATTAAAGATCATGTAATCATACACATTAAGTGGTGGATTTATAAATATTTTTTAGAATGAACATTATATATTAATAACATAATTTTTTCATATGAGGTGAATATAAATAAAATTTTAGGATATATACCATCAGAAAAATAAATAACTAACATAAAAAAATAGATTTAAATGCCCACCCTAACCAACATCTACATCTGCACATATTGTTATATATAGTTAAAAAAAATTACGTGAAATTTTCTATAAAAAAAATAGAAAATGAGAGAAATTAATTATAATATAAAAATTAGAAAAATTTACACCTATAAGGTTTTATACGAATTCTAAGATTTTGCTTTTTCGAATTCTATGTATAAGATTAATTACTTGAATATAAATAAGTTTACTATTACAATTAGTCTCTTTTAACAATAATATTTTTTTTCAATTATAAATTAACACGAGAAATGTATTATTATACATATTAGATGATCATCAAAATCAGATTTAAATTAAACTCTCTTATTGTTAAAAGAAATATATTGTCCAAAGTTGGATAACAAGTTCGAAATGAAAATTTTAATTTTCGAGTTGAATTCGAGTGAATTAAAAATCCGGTACCTCCCTAAGCATATTCCCATAAAAGAGTTAAAAAATATCAAATTAGTGATTTAACTTTAGTGGAAGGGCGCTAAAATTTTCAAAATGTTAGCTGCTTGCTAGGTAAACTTGATTTGATTGATGAATGTGTAGGAGAAATAAACATGGATTTATCAACAGCCAAAATGAAGAAGAGACAAATCTGGTTCAAGGAGAGCTGCTTTCATTTGTCTAATATGTTACCATTCCACACTAAAAAAAACAGCTAATCAAGAGAGCTAAATGAAGAGTAAAAGGATAAAGAAGAGACAAATCTGGATCAAGGAGAGCTGCTTTCGGATCGATCAAAGTGAAGAAGTTGACCATTACATTTGGAGCAATCTTCAACTTGTTTGGGGACCATGAAATACATAAGACAGCTCTTGCAACCAGCCACAACCAAGACATTATCTTTGTCTTTCTCTACCCGATGGTGGTTGCTGTTGTTGTTGTTGCAATTCGCTCTCTCTCTTGTGGAACAAGGAGATGACTCCGATGGCGACTCTTCACTGTCATACGAGCTATCATCGTCGTCCTCGTCGTCTTCTTCCTCTTCATCTTCTTCCTCTGAGTAAAAACCTCCGCTGGTCTGAGCTGCTGTCCTCGGATCCTCCCTTGCTTTCATCCCATTCCTCCAGTTTATGTAATAAATCTCCCCTGTCTGCCAACAATTACGAATAATAATACACATTGTAAGATTAATAACCCAGAACATTAGTACTACTCTAATCTACAGGGATGAAGAATCTTTTAGTTTTACCTATTTTCAATTTCATTTTGCATAGAAAATCACATCTGATATCTGCATGAACTCTCGCGAATTAACAAAAAGAAATGTTATGTGTTTGTTTGTTTTCTAGGGTTCCTTTACGGTTAGCATGCGTGTGGGAGATAAAGGAGACATTCATCAGGGAAGCAATAAATACAAAGAGAAGACTGAAGAGAAACATTAAACAAGAAATACTCAACAAAGGAAAGGGAGCAAGATCTGCCATGGTTTTCACATTAATTGCTTCTGGAACAGAAAACGACTAAAAAACAGTTTTAAATTTTCCCAATACTAAACCAACCTTAAGATCAAGGCATTGTTCCCAATGGTAGGGAAGAGAGAGATGGGAGTTGAGCTCCAAGCTTCTGTCAGAACCGGTGATTAGGAGATTGTTGTTGTTGTTATCGTCTGATGTCGAAGACCTCCTCCGTATTAATCCATCTTCATCACCTCCTCCGCCGCCGCCGCCGCTGTTGCTGCTTCTTCTTTCGTGGTTCAAAGAACAGTTTTGTAGAGACCTTTCCAAAGATTCTGTTATGGTCGCCATGTTCATTACTACGGCAGAATACTAACAAAAATCGAGAAACGGTGAGGAAATTGAAAGAGAGAGCGACTAGGAGAAAAGGAAAGGAACTAAGGGCGTGTTTGTATAAAAGGAATTTCTCTCTTTGGGTGGGAAAAAATTAAGAGAATAGAAAATACTACGCGCTCCCCGTAATTGCGCGTGGGAGATTAACGAATATCACTGTATGGGACCACACCTGTCATCAACAGAGCGCCACTGGGGTTACATTTTGCCTCGCATCTGTGGATGGGAATTTAAAAAACGGCAGACGCAGCGGAGGCGCGTGATGCTATTGTAGTGTCGTGGCCTCCACATTTGGGGTTGGGGGAAATGAAAAATCGTGTTTTCGAAAGAAAAAAAAATTATTTATTATATGTTTTATAATATTATAAGTATTTAGAAAGAAGAGATCTAAAGCTGAGAATGATGCTACCGAAAAGAATGCCGGAGCTTTGTTTTAAAGTTTATTGTTTTTTGAACGAGACCTAAAGGAAACTTGTTTATAAAAAAAGAAGAATTTTTGTTAGGGCCAATATTTAAATATAAAATTCTGGAGGGGATTAAAATTAATTTTTTATGTTTAAATGTATTAAATTGAACTATTATTATTTGAATGGGTTAAAATGCAAACTCTCTAATTAACCAAAGGATAAATAGTCTTGGATTAGATAATTTTTCAGTTGAACTAAAATTCTCCCATTTATAATCATGGGGTACGAAACTAGGATGAAGCACTAGGGGAGTTGAATATAAATAATAACAAAACAATGGTTAGAATGTGAAAATGTCAATAATACGACACATTAATAATTAAATATATGTGAAAATATCATATTAATAATATGTATTGATTATTAATCAATTTACGTCTAATATAAATTGTTTTGATAAAAATTAAAACGCATGAGATTAAATATTTCAAAAGAAAAATAAAGACTAAAATTATCAATCAAGAAATTATTAAGAGTTAATTTTAATATTATACTTGCGCGAATCAAATTATTTAATTGGTTAAAATGATGGTTGTTATCTCTATAGGTCTCAGGTTTAAACACCAAAGACTGTAACGATGTTTGAACTTTTATTGTCAAATAATTGTGAATTTTTAAAACATAGTAACATGTAATCAACCAAATTAATAAAAAATATTATACATATTCTTTTTTTCTCTCTTTTTATATAGTAAATTTGTGATTATTTTATACTTTTTTCCATAATATTCATAATAATCAAATATGGGATAATGGTTTAATTGGTTCAAGCAATTAATTAGTTTTATTTTTATTGTAAAATAGAATATAAAAGAGAGAACTGTGGGCATAAGTAGGGGTGTTTAATTCATTGAGAAGTTTGTGAGCCGTTTAAATTTGATTCGGTCAAAATTTAGTCAATGTTCGACTCGATTAATTCGATTCAAATCCGAGTTTGATTCAAGATCTTAACGATTTGAGTCGAGCAAGGTTCAACTCGACTCGATAAGTTCATGAGCAGTTTGTTAAATTTTTTTATATTTTTTAATAGTTATCTTAAAAAAATATTCTACTAAAAGATTTAATCAATAATTAATGTTAATTTACTAGATTTTGCATATAGATTAAAAAAAACTAGATAAAAATTTTGGTGAGTTTAATGAGTAATATGTCGAATTGAGTAACAGTTTTTTATGAGTACGAATCAAGCATTATTCAAGTCCTGATGTACTCGTCGGATAAACACCCTTAGGGAGGGGCATTGGCAAAGGAGACCACAATGGCATGTTTCCAAAACACTCAACTTGCGAAGGAATGAATTGGGAATATGGGTAAAGCAGACATCCATCCACAAAGCCTAATTCTTGAACCTTCAGATAGAATACAAAAATAGTGATAAATCCCAGGAAGTGGAAGGCAGTGTCGGGATAGGCAGGCAGAGTAGAAGGGAATATTTGAGCAGTGGTGAGAGAGAAGAAAAAGGAGTGGCTCTTAGCAAATTGGTGTCAGAGTGGGGGACTCTGCACTTTTCAGAAGAGATTCCACATCAGGAAAAATCTATTTAATATAGGCCTCTCTTCTTCATTCCAACACAACACCCGCACCAACTACTAAACGGTGATTTTACCCCACTGACACCGTTTGTTTTTATTTTTACTTTTCTAACACCGTTCGACCAATATTTTCAAAACTAGCACCCTTTCTGCTGAGTTGGCAAAGGCGCGTCCCCGGGGACGCGCTTTACCCGGTTTTTCGCTGAGTTGGATGCCACGTGTGAAAGGCGCGTCCCCGGGGACGCGCCTTTGCCAACTCAGCAACACTATTTTGTTTATAATAAATAGTTTATTTTTATTATTATTATTATAAATAATATATATGTAAAATGTTTCGATTATATTATGTAAAATGTTTCGATAATGTAAAAATTATAACTAATAATATTAAATATTATATTAAATAAATATATTAAATATATTTATGTATTTAAAAGTTAAAAAAATTATTTAGGTGTACATACGTTTTAATATATATGTTAATGATAAAATCATATGTATGGAGTCCTTTAATTTCAATTTAAGTATTGTGAACTATAATTGGAATATAACTTTTAATTTCGAATACAATTGGAATATTAAGTTGAAATTTAATGTTAAATTTCGAATACTATAATTTATATTTTAAATTTAAATTTGAATAATATTATTTTTATTTTTATTTTAAATTTCGAATAATAAATTTGTATTTTAAAAACATTTATCAAACATTTAATGTTAAATGTGAATAAAAAATAACATAAAAAAAATATGTATGTAACAACCATGAACATTTAAATAACATAACCAAACATAAATTTGAAATTTAATTATTTAAATAACATTAAATATAACTGGATCACCGATGTCGTCGTCTCGAATGAGTTCCACATGGCGGTGGTTGCCTATTTCGTGTGAGGATTTCTTCGTGGAACTTGTTCTTCAGTCTCCTCATCTTCACTATCATCATCAGCAGCATTTTCTTCATTTGGGTGCAGATGACGCTGAAGGGCTGAAGGGCCTGTATAAAATAACGACCCTGGAGGAGTGCTAGTAACAATCCCACCGCCCCGGGAACTGTGGAAACTGTGGAAACATTGGCATCGATGTATGTGATCCAGATGAAGATTGAGGTGTCTGCGGAGAAGCACCACCAGCCAAATAAGATGCATATGAAGCATATGCTGGATCATTAAACATAGTCGTATATGCACCCCATATGGTATAAAACCCTGCGGGCTAGGCATGTAACCTGGCGGGCTAGGCATGTAACCTGGCGGGCTAGGAATGTAACCCTGCGGCTCGAATGTAACCCTGCGGAGATGGCATATAAACTGGTGGCTTGGCATATGAAGGAGGGCTGGGCATGTACCCCTGCGGCATCGACGAATAAGATGTTGTGGTGGGACTGATGCAGAACCGTAGCGCCTTCTCTCCGTCCACGCGTCGGGGGACGATGATTGAGACGGTTGACGTCTTCTCGGCGCCTAGGAATGTTAACCCCTCGTGCTTCTTCGCCGAAAGTAGAAACGGCTTCCATTTTCATTAAACCAGTCCATATAGTTATCCGTAACCATATGACCAGTTTCAGCGTAATATTGTCGAGGGGCCAACAGTATATCGGTTCTCCCAAAGCGCAATCCAATCTCTGTGTCTCACCACCCAGTTAACATCTTTCTTTCCCCGTCTATCTATGTTATGCACGTCGTCTAAATTTCTAGGAGCTCCAGGAATATATTGCGTACAACCATACTGACGGAGCACGCGATCAACTGGATGCCACTCAATAATAGCATAACATATAAGAGGTATAACCGATATCCATACCTCTAATGACCCTCTAAGGTGGGGGGGATGCAAGCTTTCACTTCATCGCTCGCATAAGGTATCCACTGAAACTGAAATATAATATACAATTCAAATAAATAAAATATTCTAATTATATCTAACATTTTAAATTAAAATATAATAATTAAACAAATTTAAAAACATACCTCAGACCCAGCTTTCGTATCAATAAGTAAACGAATTTCTCTAAAACAGTAGGTATACTTTTATGGTCCTTTCTTTTCATCGACCACCTATGAAATAATATAAACTAAATATCACCCTATTTAATTGAAAATATTTAAATCAAAATTTAGTTCGAAAATTACCTCAACAATAAGGGGAATACGTATGGTTCATTCACGATCGGGCATAAGAAAGGCATGCGGAACCACGCCCATGATTGTAGAAGCAGAAGACATCCACCGATAGCAGTTTTCTTATAATTCGTCGCCCGACACATTTCTCTAAAGAGAAATGCCAAAACTGCAGCACCCCAACTATATCTTCCAGCTTCATCAAAATCGATCAGATGCCGCAACCACATACAATGCACCTGGTTGCGAGATTTGTCGGGCATCAATATTCCTCCATTATTCGTAGAATATATGCCCGAGCATGCCTTTGCTTGATCCTCTGAAGCATTTTCATTTAAAACCTCAAAATTAGCTTTCAACCAAGATAAAGCTATTCTACCTCCATTAAACTCTGGCGGAGCAGCTCCAAGAATCAATGCACATTGATTGCCAATCATCATCCGCCATACCACACATCATATTTCCGTCGACGGGAAGCCCCAGATGCATAGAGACATCCTCCAACGTAATTGTTGCCTCTCCACATGGAAGGTGAAAAGTGTGTGTCTCGGGCCTCCACCTCTCAATCAGTGCAGAAATTAGGACAGGTTCGAGTTTGCAACCGCCTATAATTGTTGCAATATACCCGAACCCAGCAGAAGCCAAATATGGCAAAATACGTTCCGGTGTCGGTATACGTGGATTTTTATAAAAGTTTCTAAATACGATCAGCATCCTAAATAATATATATTATAAAAAGTAAAAATTAATATAAATTCATAATAACTTTAAAATAAAAATAAATTTAAATATTAACATTAATTATAAAAATTACATATCGCTAAAATGTCTGGAGATATGATCATTATCCAATCGCAACAGCATTTCGTTTTCCATTATAACTGTAGACAAAACAATATAATT